CTCTCAGATCTCAAGGCTAATTTTACTTGCAAGGCTGTTCCCAAAATGCATTCGGAGCTTACAGTAAGTATTGAGCAGCAAACTTGTGTTTTTCCAAAGTGATGAAGCTTTTGCATCTCATTGTACTAACTTAAATTGCATATCACGGCAGACATCTCAAAATACATAGTCTTCTGGGGGCTAAGCATATATTAATACATTTTGGTAGAGAGGAATATAGGCCTACTGTCATATAGGTTATGTTATCGGGCATCCTTCTAATTCCCTTGAACAACCATGTTTGAACTATTGAACTCTTTATAATTTCTATTATCTAGTCCAGTTAAAGTCCAGGGGAGGAAGCCCCATCATAGTAAAGAGGATACTAATGTGATGTGTGTAGTTCTTCATAGCCTCTTCATTTTGCTCTCAAAGTGCACGGAATTGATGGATTTTTAACAGAATGTAGAAAAAATTTCTCCCGGGGGGACATGCCCCCGGACCCCCCTAAAGGGGCTGTGTTCCCCTTGGGGCTAAGCCCCCCTTGTTCTTGAAACCTAGTGACGCCCCTGGCTGGTGCAATTTATATTTTGGAGCAATTTATAATCCAGAAAATACAGTAATACTTTTTTGAACTACTGACACTTGAGATGTTCATTATCAGCGGATAACGTACACTGATGTCATTTCCCAAGCCAATCAGAGTCGTGTAATAACACTGTGCACTCTCACACACACATTGTACCAGTATTTCCAAGCGCCTTGAGGAAAAAAAAAATCCTGGATCAATCAGATTTTTATTTTTTTTTTAAGATATTTTATAAGATATTCTTTTTTTTTGTTGTTGTTTTACCAAATAGATCTGAAGTAAGAGTCTTGCAACATGAATATTTCCACCTGTTTTCAAGACCTGGAAACCTATGAAATCAAATTCCACACTCGTGAACGAACCCTGTGTGCAATTGCCTTTTAAGGCAGGTGTGGTGTTTGAGACCACTGGAGTAGAAAGTCAAGAGTAAGCAGCCTGCCACTCCTTTGTCGAAGCAGTGTTGCACGAGTGAAGAGGAATTTCATGCTTTTCGCTTAATGTGTGTTGATCCGGCCCGACACCTCAATGCACCCTGGGAGTAGGCACCTGGTCCATGTAGAGCAAACCCCCCACATGAATGACCTATGTGACCTGTACTTAATTAAATAACCAGCCAGGTTTTCACACCATCCAGATGGCACGACAAGTGGGTCATCATTATGAGGGCGACACAAGCCGTGTTTGTTTGACCAATTCTACAGTAGGGCCCTTTTGATCAGACACTTATCAAGTGCTAATGATATTAGGGATGACAGCTGCATTGGTGCTTATAATACAATAATAATTAAAGAAACTGATGCTATTGTGTTCTCGTTATTACAGATTTATTTACCTTTGATACTTTGGTTTTTTTTTTTTAATTTTAGGTACCTTAAAATTTAACAATAGTACTGATATACCAAATGCACTGGAATGGAAGTACTGTATTTTTCGGACTATTAAGTTACACTTTTTTCATACTTTGGCTGGTTCTGCAACTTATATTCAGATGTTACTATATATTAATATTGGACTGGCACCAAATTTCTGATTCCTAATCGTGTTGACTTTCTTTTGGCGGTTGACAAATACTTTTGGTCCATTACCGCCGGTGGCCACCTTCTGGCAGGGAAGTACCAAATGGTGGGTGCTAAATTGTGTGTTCGAGGTTACACATCCGGTACACTGTTGACAGGTGTGTTGTGCGTGATCTATTTAGACTGCAACATCTTTTTAAGATCCCAAAAAGCGGGAACGTCATTGCATGCTCCCTAGTAAAAAAACATTGTGCACTATGGTAAAACAAGCGGGAAGCACCCGATTTAAAATCGTGTTTTGTGCTTTTAGGAGCTCTCAGTTTTCGCCATGGAAAATTCGGAAGAGGACCAAGTTTTAGCAGGAAGAGACAATCATCTTACTAAGTAATAGCATAACAAATCAATCACTCCGAGAATTTTGAGTAGATCGGCAACCACATAAAAGCCATGTTTTGTTTCATTTAGATGCATCAGCTCATCCCGCTGCACATAAAACTTGGGACAACAAACCCGAAAAACTACTCCGGGAGCACTAAATGTCACAGTTAAGGTCAAATCAAATGATCCAGATGTGAAAAAATGCAGGGTTGAAAGAAGTTTTATTTCAAGGGACATAGGAGAACATCAATAATTTAGCCCTGGGGCCAACTGCTGTGAGATACAAACTCATCCTTCGCAATTTGTCTCTGGTTTGAAAAATCACATTGTGCGTGCCTAATTAATCTGTGTGGATGTAGCCTTCCCAGAACTTGCTAAATTAACTTTGCAGTCATTTTTGGCAGACACATTCCTGGGTGCACCTGGCTAATACATCTATTTTCGTGAGTAATCAAGTTTATAGCAATGTTTGCACTTAATAGGAGCAGCTGTAAACAAAACATAATACATGTTATTCTCAAGGACCAAGGACATTCTGGCTCTGTGGAATGTGTGGCAAACTAAGCCAAAAACTGCCCAAAAAATACCACTGAATACCTTGCTTCCATTTCCAATATTCTATCTTTGTAAAGCTGTATTTAATGCAATAATGGCAACCAAAATACTTGTTTCTATTCTATTCCCGTCCCCTAAAATTATTGCTTTACTTTAAATGAAAAAAAGTTGTGGATCGCTGTGGATAATACAAACCCAATTCCAGTGAAGTTGGTAGCTGTGTTAAACATAAATAAAAACAAACCTGGCTAACTGGGAACAGGTGGGTGCCATAATTGGGTATAAAGGAGATTCCCTGAATTGCTCATTCACTAGCAAAGATGGGGCAGGGTTCAAAAAAGGACAAATAAGGACAAATGCGTGAAGGATAATCACCACAAGAGCTTAGGAAGACTTCAGAAAACCAATGTCAGTAAATACAGTTCGGCACTACACCCGTAAGTGCAACTTAAAACTTTACTATGCAAAGCAAAAGCCATACATCAACACCACCCAGAAACGCTGTTGGGTCCTCTGAGCCCGAAGCTCAGCTAAGATGCAAAGTGGAAAAGTGCTCTCTGGTCTGACGAGTTCACAGTTCAAATTGCTTTTGAAAAATGAGAATGTCATGTCCTGCGGGCCAAAGAGGAAATTAACCTTCCGAACTAGACGCAAAGTTCAAAAGCCAGCATCTGTGATGGTCAGTGGCTATGTTAACGTACACATCTGTGAAGGCACCATAAATGCTGAAAGGTACGTGCAGGTTTTGGGGAAACATGCTGCCATCGAAGCAATGTCTTTGCCATGGACCTGCCTGTTTATTTCAGTAGGACAATGCCAAACCACATCCTGCATGTGTTACCACAGTGTGGCGTCATAATAAAAGAGTATGGGTAGTAGACTGGCCTGCCTGCAGTCCTGACCTGCCTCCCATTGAAAATGTATGCTTATTTATGAAGCGTAGAATACGACAAAGGAAACCGCAGACAGTTGAACAGCTGAAGCTGTACATAAAAGATGAATGGGAGAGAATTCCACTTCCTACAAATGGCGTCCTCAGTTCTCAAACGTTTATTAAATTTTCCTCAAAGAAATTATGCCGCACAGTGGTAAACATGACCCTATCCCGTTTTGCAGCCATCAAATTCTAAGTTAATGATTATTTGCTCAAAACAAAGTTTTCTGTCTCAGGGAGACCATCTCAAGATGCTCGCATTCCCGTCAAGTGACTCTCGAGGGCACACCAAAAGTTGACTTTTTTTTCCGTTCGTGAACAGACCATTAAAAAACTTTCATGTGCATGCAAGTTTGAGAAAAATATAACATTACAAGATACCAAAAGTATGTTTGATGTTGCGTTTCATGTCTCATGTTCCTCAACTGGCATTATCTAGATCAATTAAGGAGGAAAGGAGTTACTACTTTGAATTACAGTCAAACCTCGGTTTTCGTCCATAATCCGTTCCAGAAGGCTGTTCGAAACCACGCTCTTTAAAAAAAAAAAAGTTTATTGAACACGTCTGCTCACAGCGTCATTTCCTCGTGTAAGGAAGGCGAGAGGAGTCAAGTGGTGCATTCAAGTGCGCTCAGTTTGTCCGAGAACCGAAATTTGTTCGTCATCCGAGGCACAAAAAAGTCGAAATTTTTGGTCGAAAACTGAATTGGTCGAGAACCGAGATGTTCGAAAACTGAGGTTTGACTGTATAGTGTGTTATTTTCTTCAGTATTATTTGATTGATTGAACAGTTATTGTTTCAAAGCTTTATTATGCACTAAGTATAATTTTACAATAAATCATCAAATATGTAGCCTTGATTAACTTCACTTGTGTTTTAAATTTTAATCATTTGAGGGGTTTGGCAAGTCCTCCCTAGCCCAACATGAGACTGCGGAAGAGGCCTGGTTTGAACTCACAGCCTATAAAAGTCAAAGCCATTTCCTCTTTCCTTCTTCTTCTCTTTTGTTCCTGCTTCCTCTTTTGTCTCTCTCGATTGCTGTTTTTTTCCTTTGGGCGGATGACAGGCATCTTTTGGCCATGTGCACGCGGCTGGGCCCTCGCTTTGGGTTCCCCTTTTTTCCAAGCACCATGTGCCTTTCTTTCAAGAATTTTTTTTCCCTCTTTGCTGGTGCACCCAGTGTTCTCTAGTTTTGTGTGTTTGCCTTGCAGGGACAAAACAGTCGCGAAATCAGGTCAGATCAGCATAGACTACACTCGTGCTCTGCTGGCAAGCCCTAGAAACTTGTCGGCCAAACCAGGCACCCAGAACTCCCTCTAGTGCACCTTTGAAGAGGGCTGGAGATTTCAACAATCAAATGCACCGCACCCACCAGTCCGAAGCAAGACCACCTTTTTTCCGTTTTCCTGTTTTTTACTTTTTTCTTTTAATTTTTTTCTTCCAACTTGGCCAGCTCAATTGCAGACGTGAATCAGGGCAAACTCCTCTCTCACAGCTTATTTATTCAGAACACAATCACTGAGTTCAAATTACTAGTGTAAAAGTTTTCAGTAAAAATCAACCCCAATATTTTCTCAACATGGCATTATGATTAATAATACATTTGTGGAATATGAGTGAAGCAGTAAAACCCACCCCTTGTTGTCCATCATAGGGGGCGGCCATTTTGCCACTTGCTGTTGACTGAAAATGACATTACAGTTGCTCAGATATCAGGTAATGACCAATCATAGCTCAGTTTCAGGGAACAGATGAACCGTGATTGTTCGTTACCCGAGCCTTCAGAAACTCTGAGGTAATTTTCAGATGAGGTGGATTTTGCTGCTTAACTCATATTCCACAAAGGCAATATGAATCAAAATGCAGTGTTTTGACTAGTGAAGGCGCATGGGCACATGTGCATATTTTTAGAAAGTTTTCACCATCTTGTGCGAAGAGCATCTATTTTGTTGTTTGTGTATTCTTATCCTTTTATATTCTCATTCTGCACCTTTTTCCACCATAATTAGTTTTCTTCTGAAAGATTCCTCCCAATTACCATGGATTTTTTTTTGTAAAATTTTATACAGGTGTATTAATTTACTTTTATTGTTTACTTTGTTAAATAAAAAAAATAAAATGTATTACCACAGACAACAGAACAAAAGTACCAAAACTAGGTCCTGCTGAGTACTGGGATCGATTTCCAGGTAATGAGCATCGGAAAAGAACCAATTCAAATGTGGTACCCATTCCTATTTGAACATATTCAGTTGTACCGTAAGTTTTGCCCACGCAAGTTTAAAGACTTTGTTTGAAATAATTTATTTGGGCCACAACAACACCTGATTTGCATTACTTAATTTCTCGGAAATTGTATTTAGAATTATTTATGTCAGGTTCAAGTTTGAACATTGTGGGGTTTTCTGTCTTTAAAGCAGTCCTCAAATCGTGGAGATTTATAGTCATGGCAGAGAGTGCGGGGGCGGGAAATAGTTATTTCTTCCTTTGTAACACAATGACTGAGAGGCACTACTTTAAGTGAAGACTAACAAACAGCCTACAAGTGTACATGTGGTCTCACTTCATTGTGGGGTAACCCAGCGGCGGAGAAAATGGGGATCTTCTGTCCTCTGGCAATACTGTTCATGCCATCAATAGCAGAGATGCCAGTCTGGATCATTTCTTCAGGGTAGATGCGGCACTGAGGGTTGATAGGCTGACCTGGACAGTAAACACACAGCTTTGCTTTAAGTTGCTATATAACAGAGGCACGCTTGGTCACATGGTGCAGACAGTATCCACAGTATAGTACGGTGCAAACGTTTAAAGTGATAAGACCATATACAGAGATGAAAGTGGACTTTCCTGAAATATCCTGAAAATACAAATGCGAGCACCGAATGTGTGAAGTTCTGCTAGGGGGGTCCGGGGGTATGCCCCCCTGGAAAATGTTTGAAAAATGGATGGCTGTGGTGCATTCTGGCGATACTGTATCTGTGAACAAAATTCTGACAAAAATTGAAAGTAAAATTTCTACTTTTTTATTTCTAACTCCTGATAAGAATGGAAAGTAATACTTAAATGATGAATCACTTCTATCAGTTCTGTGATTTAAACATGTTTTGATTTTTTTAAGAAGTTGATCTGTAGTAATGACTATTAACGTCCAAGTCTCAAATTTGTTCCGTCGCGTTGTACTGATACACTCGACCAGATTGCTCACTATCTGAGATAGATATAGATCTAGTAATACAAATAGGATAATGAGTTGCCTTTAATATTTTGATATATATATATATATATATATATATATATATATATACACACATACATATATATATATACATATACATACATACACCTAACACACATGTCGATTAGTGTTCCCTCCTGCTCAATACATTTAGAGAT